GCACAAGATTCTACATTAGTAGTATCATGGAAAGCGCACATACATTGACTCAGTCGATGACTGTGTAAATCCCCTAGCTAAAGAGTTTTAATGGATGTAATGGATGAAACTTTAAAAATTGAATGCTCATGATCTAGTGAGAAAATTTGGCTGTGTAACTTCTCTATAGATTCAAAATGAAGAGTACTATCCAATGAGTATATTTTTAAGGCTAGGGATTTAGTGATTTTAATTCAATTTATGTTTACTGAATTCCATTTATGTTTACTGAATTCCATTCATAATTAATTATTGCTTTGATACCTTTTAATTAGGCCCCAAATTTCTCTAGGATAATTTTAGGATCTCAAAATTTTCTCAAAGGTATTTGGGATATCTTATGATTTGCATGGAATTTTGAAACCCTAGATCACCTTTTTTAACTTAAGGTTTCAAATTGCCATAACTCAGAATCCATAAGCTTTTGTGTGTGTTTTGTTTTGTGGTTATTAGGACAAGGTATTAGGGTTATATATCCATTGATTTCTCCCCAATCCAAGCTATGTTCTTCATTAAAAAATTAAGTTAGTGTGTAGGTTTAGATATCTTAGCAAAAATGTTGAAAATCAATCCTTCATCCAAATGCCCTCAAACTTTCATCATTTGATTCAAAGAATTGTCTATTTAATTTGGTGAAGATTTGAAACTATTTGATCCCCTAATTTTTAAGGCCTAATTTTAGCCCTTAAAATCACCTATGAATTTTAATAAACAAACTCAAGTTTGCCTTAATAACGTACCCACACTCCCCTCTTGATGTCTTTGGTGCTCTACTAGGGCATCACCTTAGCCACCTCCCGTCTCTTATGATCTAACCATTTTCTAAAAATTTTCATCATTTCTACATCTCCATCGTACCTCATCTCTCATCTTGGGCAATCCAACTTGGTTTCTCGATCTACCTCTAGCCTTCGTCCAGGAGGAAGTTTTTTCTTTTCTAAATATTTACTATGGATTTTTATTGCTTTTATGGCGAATAAACTCTTGTATCCTAGATTTCTCGCTAGTAATGTAATATCTCAATCTTTCAAAAATGATTTATCTAGCATTACTGTCTCTTCTTCTTTTCCCGATCTCAAGGAAACTACCCACTATAGTTTGAAGTCCTTTTGGATCTCCAAGGAAGAAATCATTGCATTAGTGGCTCCTTTTGCTTTTTTATGGTTGGTAAATTCTTTAATAGTTGTCCTAAACTAGATCATATTAGAAATTTCTTTCTTCAATCTCAAACTTTATGGTGATTTCCCTATTACTTTACTGGTTGCTCACCATGTGCTTATAAAAGTACCCAACGACTTGGACTATAGTAGAGTTTTTGCTCACTGATCTTACTTTGTGTATAACTATTTTTATAAAGCTTGTAAAATAGTCACATATGTTTGACATTCATGAGGAATCCCCTATCATTCAAGTTTGGATCTCTTTCCATGACATATGACCTTAATTTTTTCCATAGGATCCTTCACAGGTTAGGATCTCTATTTGGCAGACCCCTTGCAAATGGACAACGCCACTACTCACGTCACCCGGGCCCTTGGTTGCTTGAGTTTTGGTGGAGTTGGATATTGGCAAAAACTATTTTAATAACATTTGGACCATACCTGAGAAATTTGGCTATGCACAAAAAGTGGTTTTTGAAGAAGTTCCTTCATTTTGTGATTCATTATAAGACCCTTGGACATGCCAAAAATAAGTGTTTTATTTTGTACCCTAATCTTATGAAGAATAACCCTATTAAGCCTAAGGATCTTATTATACAAACAGTTGATGTCATCTCATCGACGCTCCCTATTCTAATGATCTGGCTTATAAAAATGATAATATTGATTTTCCTTCTGCTATCCAAAAGGATGATTTTCCTATCGAAACTCCTACTTTTTTTTGCCTACAATCAATGTTATACTTGAGAGCAATGTGATATTAGTTATTCATCATAATGTGGAAGTAACCCCTATGGTGGATGGAAAGAATGTGGATGGTGATGTTGATACTGTTGAAGATGGTATCAAATGGTTGATTTTGAATCTCACTATCTTCATGGGCATGTGGATGAATCCGAATTTTTGGATGTTTCTAATAAAATGCCTATTATTAGCATTCCTTTCTCCCCTTTATCTCTAGCAATATGAGCATCCTAATAATGTTGTAAATCATGTTAACCACTCTAATTGGTTATTTGATTTATCAGGTGTTAGAGTTGTTGTTCCTAATAATATTGCTGAGGAAGTGAATGATGGTAGCTTTTATGATTCTTTGGAAGGTGTTTGTTTGGATGTAGTGAAACTTGATAAGGCTGGTTCTTATAATGCTTCAAGGAAGAATAAAAAGAAATACAAAAATACAAAAAAAATAGGAAATTGCCTTTTGCTTTATTTTCCTTTTTTTTTCTTTTGTTCCTCTTCTGTCAATAAAAAGAAATTGCTTGATAAGGCTGGTTCTTATAATGCTTCATGTTTTTGTTGCCTTCATTTATTTTAGCTTATTTCTTTTAATATATTAAATTATTGGTTCATAGGTTTGTATTTTTATAGAGCTTATGGTTCATTAATGACTTGTTATCCTTTCTAATTTAGATCGTAGGCCTCCATGTTGGTTTTATCCAAAAAAATAAAAAATTTAATAAATCATAATTAAATCAAGACAAATCTAAAAAAATATGATAGTTATTATATATGGGGAGGTGTATAACCAACCTATAATAAGTTCCACATCCTATAGTATACGAATTGAATAAAGTAGCCATGCTTACTTTCAAAAAATGAAATTGGATATTATCAAAAGTAGTGATCTTTAAAAATTATAGCCAACATTATGCTCCAGGTGATCTTTAAAAATTAACAAAATATAATTCCTGACAACCTGAAACAAGCTAACCCAGTTGCTAACAGTATCCCTCACCAAGAAATAGTAGACAATAATCAGTTTTGTCCCATAATAAGGATTCCAACAATACTCCTAGTCAAAAGTCACAAAATGCAAGTAAGGCCAAATATCAATATTAATATCAACAATCCGGTAAAAGCTACTAAAATAAAAATTGCTCCAGCCGTTAACCTTGAAACAATGATAACATAATTGTAATACAAACTAGGAATAAAAAACCCAAGTAGTATCCAAATTAAACAAAGCATTTAAAATATTAGCCTAATCAAACAACTGGCCAAAAGAGATAAATAGATTGCAATTATAAGCCTCCAGATGCCACAGAGCACAGACATACCTGAAAGAACAAGGCCAACATAAAAATCGAGCAGAACCCCCAAATAAACTCAGAACCAAATGACAAAAAACATGAATACCAAGCAGAAAAGAGAAGATAAGGAGAACAAAAAAAAGCCGCAGACAAATTAATGCTTATGAATATAGGGAAGAGCCACACCATCAAGCATGACTAACCCTTTAGTCTCTTTGGAAATAGTTCTATAATCATAATCAATAAACTGGGTGAGAGAACAACCCAATTTAGCTAAGGAGTCCGCAACAGCATTCCCCTCCCTGAAAATATGAGTCATTTTAAACTGAATACGGGCGAGAACCTGCTTAATATTCCTGATAATATAAAAGCTATCCAGACTAGAAATAGAGTTGCCATTGATATAATGAATAATAAGCAGAGCATCAATCTCAATCCATAGATTAGAAATACCACAAGATATTGCTAATTGGACCCCATAACATAAACTATCTAACTCAGGAAGATGAGCATAATTACCATTCGAAGGGCCCGCAAAAGCAACAATAACCTTCCCCTCAAAATCACGAATAATGCCACCACAACCCGCAACATTACTATTTTTAGAACCGCCAGTATTAAGTTTAAACCAACCCCTATACGGCTTCTTCCAATAAATAACCCTCTCGCAGAAATGCTTAGAGAAAGGAATTAAAGTAATTCCAAACTCACTGGCGAGGTTGTGATAGCCATTAAAAGAATTAGGGGATAACAAATTAGCAGCAAAAAGTTGAGTCACCTTAAACTTCACTTTATAAATAATAAGATTGGCTTTCATATTGATGTTCTCATTCTTAGAATCATTCCTGCTACTCCAAATAAACCAACAAATTAATACCAGAATAATATTACGAATGTGACCTTTAGTAGATATAAACCAAATTTTAAAAACGTCGGCCATCGAAGCAATAGGCCCTTGGTAAAAAACATGATTAATATTTTCAATATGACAACAACGTTGGCATTTAGAAACAATGAAAAAGCCTTTTCTAATAAGAGTAGAATCCACAGGAACATACTTATTTAAAATCCTCCATATAAGAAATGAATAGGTAGGAGGAATGCTAAGGTTCCAAAAAGCAGTAAATAACGGGTTGCTAGGTAATTGAGGTTTAATGGCATGCTAAAGCAGTTTAGAGTTAAAATTACCATCATTAGAACAATTAAACATAATGCAATCTTCAACCTCCAAGTTAATAGGAATTTTACAAATAAGATTAAGAATAAAGTGAGGAACCGTGTGCTCTAATAAATCAATGTTCCAACCGTCATGAACAAGAAAGTCCTTCACCTTACACTTCGAAATAGAACGAGTATTTAACAAATTATCAATGGAATAATTACCCAACCATTTGTCTTGCCAAAAGTAAATATCACCAGCTCCCAACCCCCATTGAATAAAATTTTCAGCCTCCCATTTGATTTTACATAATCTTTTCCAATTGAAAGAGTCCCCTTGTTTAAAAGAACAATTAAGCGGATGCTTGCCAACACAATACTTAAAATGTAAAAACTTCGCCCATAAACTCTTCTTTAGATCTAAAAGAATACCACAGTTTATAAGAAAAAGTCGCCACCATATCATTAAAATTTTTGAAACCTAACTTCCCTTCATCCAATTTACCAGAACATTTATGTCAAGACCCCCAAATTATAGCCTTATTATCACCTTTAGAACCCCATAAAAATTTATTAAATAAAACTTCCAACCTCCTGCAAACATTTAAAGTAGGACATAAATGTAGCCATATATATATTCAACTCTGCCTGTAATTGACAAAGTAAATAGAAAATTAAAGTAGGAGAGATTTGACCCTCTATAAAACATTTCAACCATCAAGTTCCTAAAACAACAATAAAAACTTTAAAGCACAGTACAATTTTCATTAATTACTTGGTTTCCTTCTCAGCCACACCTACCTCATGAACCAGAAACATATTTATATAAACTCACCTAAATTCATTCCCTCCATTCTGTCTCATCTTCTCCTCTTCAATTTCTCTTCTTCCCGAAGCAAAAGAACCAGTGTGAAACAACCGGTTGGAACTTAGAGACTTATTAACCTCGCCATTATCCAAAGCCATCCCCCCTCCCATGCTTCTCAACATGCTTCCAACTCCGAGAAAGTCTCTTGTTAACCCATTATTTTGATACCTTCCTTCCTCCATGTTACACAAACCTGCATTATCGAACTCTCCAAACTTAACTTCTTCATCCTCCTCCCCACCCCCTCCAAATACCCCCGAATTTCCATTAGCAAAGGAGTTCATAATATCCATTAGCTGTTTCTCATGATTCTCCACCTGAGACCTCAAGCTCTGCTCTCCTAGGCTTGAAGTCGCTCCCATCTCCGCTGCCTTCTGAAGTAGAGCCGTTGCCGACATGTGAGGAAGAACTGCATTGTTCAATAGAGCGTGCATTTGATCATTCATCAGATTTCCACTATTGTTGATGACTTGTTCATTTTCCATTAAATGAGCACTTTGATTGTTATTAACGGAGAAGAAACCGAGGTTGGGTTGGAGATCAGGAAGGTGCATCAAGCCCTGGAAGGAAGCCTTGCTTTGGAGTGAATCGTCGCCCGTTAGAAAGAAGGAGTTGGAAGGAGGGGGAGGTGGGTGGAGATGGTCGATATACTGTGGTCCGGCGGAGAAGGTTTGACAGGAGGCAGCGGCCGTGCCGCCGAGCCGAAGAAGGTCTGGTGATATCTGATGGTTTTGGTTTTGATAATGTAGAGAGGAAAGGTGGTGGCCGAGGGCAAAGTTGTTGTTATTATTATTGCTTCTGTAGAAATGGGAGCCTATGGTGGGAAGCCTTGAGCTTTCCTGTGCTAAGGCGTCGCAGAATGCCCTGTGGGTGATGAAGCTGTCACGCCTGCATTGAAAGAATTATGTACAACATATATGGATAGAAGAATTTCATGAAGGAGTTAATGAAAATCTGCTCTGATTAATTATATATATTTCAATTTGTATAAAACTTAATAAAGCTTTGCATCAATGTTTGAACACTCTTAGCATATATTTTAAGAATTAACAGCAAATTAGTTCACAAATGAAAAGAAAGCAATGCTGAAAACTCCAGTTGCACATACCGTCAGTTATCTAAATGGCATTGCAAATAAAAATACCAATGAATTAATTAAATATGATGTAATTCAGAGATTACACAAAGACTCATGGGATTAAAAATAACTTTTGGATGTTATTTTACAAATCAGAAAATACTGTTTACATTCAATATTAAAAATGTATATTGCATTTTATTTTTCAAATCTTATAGCTTAATGGATAATAATTTTGGTATTTGGGATCGAATTCCATTTGAGTATGACTTCATTTGGGACAGTTTTTTATTGTTTTTTAAAGTAGCAAAAATGCTGTCACAAATGAAGTCTATATCAAATTTGTGTTTAGACAATGAGAACAGGTTGTTTTGTAGGATGGATCAAATTAAGTAATCCATTTGAAGCAATTGCGGTTGTTTGTAAATGTAGTTGAAGAGCTGTTGTAAGTTAGGAAAGTGATTTTCTTAAAAGCAATTATGAATATTATAAAAAAATTTCAGTATGATTATAACTATCACATTCCAATAAACGTGATTATAAAAAGCTACTTCTTATCACAAAATTTCTCATAAAAAATAATAATCAAAGAATAATTTGACAGCTATTTGAAATATAAAATTATGAAAATGCTGTACTAAACAAACAACTACAAGGTCATTATAGCTATAGAAATAGAATTCTATTATGCAAAAAAGAGTGATCAAAAGCTGTCTCAAACAAAGTGGAAGTGAAGAACTAACAAAAATATCTTGCTGAGCGTTCTCAGAATAGAAAGTTAGAATCTGGAAAGCTGGCGTTTTCGTTGAACTAAGAGCAATAAAAAGCGAAATAGGAGGAAATCTAGGCAGTGTATTTCACCAAGAAGCACTTAATGATAAGAGAATGTTGGGGGATATTAGCCTTAAATTTGAAAAGGAGTCTCTCCATTTCAAGCAAGAAACAATTTCAAGAACTGGCTCTTAATTAATTCAAAAGAGATTTTGTGCATAAAACTTGAAAACTGCTAAAAGACCCTCTTGCTATTAATAAAAATTTATTTAAAATATACTAATTCAATTTAGTGAAATAAAATTTCTACTATTAGAATTAATTTAACACAAATAAAATATAAGAGTTACTTAATTAGCTATAGATTTAAATCATCTTAAAATAAATTTATGATGAATATGAATTTTCTTACCAAAATTATTCACAACAAAATACCCATTTTCTCTTCATAATTCATCGAAATTATATGGTGGGAAAAAAAAATGCTTAAGCTTGCAGTACTCGAGACAATTTCTGCCTAGGACATAGTATTAGGCTTTATGTAATGCACGTTTTTAACATGAAAAATGGAAAATAAAATCATATATATCAAGCCAAATGAAAAAAAAATTCACAATTTATTTCATTATTATGGTTTTATATGAGAAATTTTTCTTATGATTTTCTAAAATAATTTTCAGATACAAAATTATTTCAAAAGAATAAAAGAAAATAATGATCAAAATCTGTCTCAAACAAAATCTTAGCGTATTTAATTAGCTCGTGATTTTCCTATGATGATAATGTATATCTGCCCTAATTGTTATCTAGCTGTTATTATGCTACATAAATATTTACAAAAAATAATATAAAACATATTAATACACAATATATAAAATTTAAAAACGGAAATTCAACAAAAAAATAAATAAATAAACCGTAATCTTTCCTACCTAATAAGAGAAATACTTCCTACACGTTATGAGAACACAATTTTTAAATTCATCTCAATGAAATATAGAATAAAAAAAATGTTTTTGGATCATTTTTTTAATAATATCTTATAGTATATTACTCTTATATTTAACCTATTATTAAAATTTAATATTAAAAAAATGTTAAATATTAATTTTTAGATTGTTCAACAAAATTGTTTCTCCCATTCAAATGTCAAAATTCTTCAACCCTTATCCTTTCCTATTCTCATCTTGATAAAATCTATAAAATTATAATTTATCATAGAGAAAGAAAGTGTGGACGGGCAAGGGAATCTCCTTGCAATTTCCCAACCCTAAGTTCCAAACTAGTTTTTCATACCACTTGCTTATATGGAAACACGTGAACCAAACCACAAAGAGAGAGAGAGAGAATGGCAGAGACAGAGAGAGCCCAGCACTGTCTCTGAACAGAAAATTTATTTTTTTCCCAATGTCTGTCTCTCTCTCTCTCTCTTAATTTGGAAAGACCCTGAAGATTTTACTAAGATCCTAAAATTTTAACATTTGAGTAGATAATTAATGTGCATGCATCTTTGATTTATAAGAAGAAGAGGAGGAAAAGGAGCACCTTGAGAAGAGGGTTCCACAGTCACAACGGTACTCTCTAGTTCCACAAGTCTTTGAATGCGCCTTCCAATCCGATTGAACAGCATAGCGCTTTGAACACTTATCGCACTTCCACTTCTTCTCACCATGTTTTCTGCTGAAGTGTTTCTTAATGCCCGTGAGATCACCGAGAGCTCGCGAAGGGTCATGGTGAACGCAGCTGGGCTCAGGGCAAAGGTAGACTCTTCGTCTAACTTCCTTACTGCTCTTTTGCTTCAGCTTCCATGGCAGATTATGACCTCTACGATGGAGCTGAAGGTTTTGCTCTCGCTGAAACCCTTTGTTGCATACTTCACAGATGAATCTGTTTGTGGCCATAAGGGTTTTTGGTGATAGAGCGATTACCTCCGCATCCGGATCTGATTAATATCATGATATTAGGAGGAGAAAATTGAAGAATAGGAAAATTTTTTTTTGTCATGCATGTGTGGATACTTGCTTGGGTTTCCTGGGAGATTTCTCTTCTTTTTAGGTGGATTGGTGGTAGCTGAAGAAGGAAGCTGTTGCCCGGCTGTTGCCGGCGCATGATGCTGGGAAGGCAGTGGTGGATGATGCTTTAACTGGTTAAGGTGGTCTTCATTTATTATACCGAAGAAGGAAGTTGAAGATGAAGCCGCCGCCATCTTCCCCTTGAAAAAAAAAAAAAAAAAATTTTTTCTCTTGCTTTTTTCTTACTCGCTTCTTTTTCTTCTTTCTGACGCCATGATTGTCAGATCTTCGATAAATCTGGAAGTCATGAACAAGGAAAACACGAAATAAGGGAAATAGAAGAAGATAGAGAGGTTGAAGGAGAAAGATCCAAAAACCTACAAACAACAGCTTGTTTGGAGACGATGTTCGACAAAACAACAAAGTATAAATGGAAATTTAAATAAACATCTGCACTGATCAACAAGTTGAAGGAAAGAAAAGCGAGAGAGAGAGAGAGAGAGAGAGAGAGAGAGAGAGAGAGAGAGAGAGAGAGTTGGTAAGATAGAAGGGGAGAAGAAAACAAGATAAGAAAAGAATAGAAAATCACAAACCTATTACTAATGCTCTCGTTCCCTTCCTTGCTCTCTTCCAAAGCTTTCTCGTCCTTCCTCTTAATTATAATCTTCTTCTACTCATCTCCATAGGGATTGCAGCGCAGGCAGCCAAGGGAGCCTTGTCTGAACCACAAATAAACTCATACAGAAAAATTTATATGAAATCACATAGAGAGAGCAAGAAAGGAGAGAGAGGAAGAAAGGTGAGAGAGGGGACTATGGTAGTGTTAAGCAGGCAAACTGATGTCGCTTTGCGGGGAAGGATCGGGTCCACCGACCTGTAGGCCTTACCCTCTCCCACCTAGCTCCTTCTCTTATTTCGCATCTCCTTACATTCCAAGTCCGGACAAAGCCTTTTATCTCTCCATTTCTCTCACTTTCTTCTCTTTAAGAAGAGAATTATGCTAATTCAGAAAATGTAAAAGCAGCTTTCATCCATACATTCTTAGCAAAATTTACTTTTACTGCACGAACTATTCTTCTAATTTGTAAAATGGTTTATAATATTTTCCAAAATATTATTGGATGCGCAATAATTTCCTTTTTTAACCATTCAATTTATTTGAATGCTCATAATTTTGTTACTAAACTCAGAATTGTTATCTAATGATTTACAAGTGCAGTTAATTATGATCATCCAATTTGGATTGGATGATAATCAGCGATGAACCAAATCTGTCTTTGTAATAAAAAACTCGAATTGAAAACTAGTTTGATTAAAATCTTCAGAATTAAAAATAATTTATTTTGTATTACAATGACAATATATTTCAATTTAAGAGATATAAAATGTTTTCAGACAAATAAATAATCAAATTAACAATATATTCTCATCCATCTAAATGTAATAAGAAATTAAACTATTAATTAATCTACAAACATTTAAAAAATATTTAGTGACCTTATTTTTACACAAACAAAATAAGTAAACTAATGATGAACTCGTTTTCTATATCATGTTTTCTTCTACAAGCAATCACTTATATGGTAACAAAATAAAATATTGTGAATATTTTTAATTCTCTATGTTAAAAATCAAATAAGATACTATACTTGAGCAAATGTATCTTACAACTCTTAAAGTATTATGTCATTAAAAAAATATCATATATCATAAATTAAATTTATCTAATAAATATTAAAATATATATCAAATATTTATAATTGAAATATACAGTAATATTATTATGATATATTCTCTTAATAAAATTGTTTCATTTATTATATTTTTGTTTATTATTCTTTTCTATGCTTCATATATATATATGCAATATTTTATAAATATAGCATTCAATACTGTTGCGATTCTACCTTGTTAAATATAGCATTAGAGTGAGATTTATAAGAAGTTCAATGTCTTACGTATACTACACGACGAACCACTTCAAAAACTTTTTTGGTGCTTGTGGCTTTCCTTGGATCATCTTCATCTACAATCATCTTCCATATATCTTATAAATTTGCTCGATCGCTCACAATTATCTTCATTCCCAAGCACAAATTTTGCCAGGTTTTCTATGCGATGGATCCATGGTTCACAAGTGCGCTAGCTAAACTGTGCGAGCACTCTTTGATTAGTTCGTTGTTTTGACGTTTGAAGGAGTTTTTGAACAACTTGGTTGAGTATTTTTAATGTCTGAAAGAGCATTCTCTTCTCTTTTTTTCATCAACAAGAGTTTTTTTTTTTTGTTATTTTTCTATGTCATATATGCAGTCAAAGTTTACAAAATAGTAGCAATTAGAGATTTTTATCAGATATCTTCAATAAAATAATACTATTGTTTTGTATTTCTACCTTTGCAACAAAGAGTTTTGCTTACGATTCGTGATATTTAATACTAACGGAAAGCATTGAAAGTCCTTGCACGCCTTCTCATCAAACATTTCTAGCTTTTTCCTTAATAAATTATTCTTTTGTTTGTTTTCATCTTTGTAAGTTTTCGTGTGTCGTATCTTTAAATGAATAGGAATGAGTTTAGAGTTCACACCCTTGCACTGCAATCCACAAAATTAACTATCAAACTAGTTAAGTGGTTTGATGACGAGGCTTCTACTCAATAAAATTATATAACTATCAACGGATAAATTTCCTTCAATAAAACTCTCTTTGGAAGCCAATTAAACACCTTCTTTTACCGTTATTTAATATATATATAAATATATAGACATTTAGATAAATTAAGACAATTTTACACAATTATTTAAGGATATGTAAAATTTTAATTAATTAACGTGTAGGTCTCTCTAAAGATTTTAACAAAATAAATGGCAAACTTATAAATACTACATACCTAAAATTCGAACTTAAGATCTTTTTGATGATAGCCAAAGCTCCCAACAAACATTTAATGAATGCAAAAAATGAGAAGAAAAGGATGGCCATTTTTATCTTTTAGATATACAGCGAATGGTGGTAGGCTGAAAAATCAATTGGATATACATATTTTAGCAGCATAAATCACTTTAATTCGGAATAAAAGATATCTTACAGGTTATTGCATTTTTCTTACTGCATCATTGTTAACAATCTGACCATTTTTCCTTCTCAATATAGATAAACATCTCTCCTCCAAATCTCAAATTTGTCTAAAAACTAGTCACAGATTATTTTGTGACCTGCGCTCTCGTCCCTAATATGGTGTCAAAATTGCTCATTGCAGGTTGCACAACCGGTCCTAAACAAGACCAGAAGTAGCTGGAAGTAGGGCTTCCATTGATCAATTTGCAACCATTACTGGTCGCAATTTAAATGGGTTTAGAGATGTAAAATAAGCTTAAAAATCTACATTAAAACTTAATTGAGCCCGCCTAATCAAATCACTGTGTATTTTGATAGTTGATTTTGTACATCACAGTGCAAATTAAGATGTTAAATCTAAACTCAAATCCCTTTCTTTTAGAAGATAGGACACACGAAACATTACAAGAAGGAAAACAAACAAAAGAACAATTTATTAAGAAAAAACTAGAAATGTTTAATGAGAATGTGCGCGAGAACATTCAATTCATTCCATTTAGTAGTACAGATTCGCAAAATTCTTCGTTGCAAAGCTAGACTTGCAGAATAATAAGGACTGACGCCAAGCCAAAGCTTCCTCTTTACTTTTTTTTTTTTTTAACAGTTCAAGAAATTAAGCATATTCTTGCTGCATGCAGACAAGCTACTATTAAAAAAAAAAAAAAAGGAAAGAGAAATCGGAGACAGGTCACAGCTCCCACAGCTTATCGTGATCCCCACCTCTGTGGCAAAAAGTCACGTGAAATCTTGCATGGTATGTATGCGGGCCTACGAATGCGGTGACCGTCAGATCAAAATCTGCACTTAGTTGATCTCGTGTTCGCCCGGCCGGTCTGACGACTGAATTTCGGTTCAATTAACCGAGTCAAACCAAGATCTTTTTGTGTGAACAGTTCGCATGCTGTTTATTCATTGACTAAAATAAGCGAAATCAAAACAACTTTATTAGCTCATGCGCTCAACGAGATAAAGAGAAATAGAAGAGCTTAAATTTGATTATATTCAGCTGAATAATTATCAAAGCTTATTTATCATAAAATTTATTTTATGCAGCACTTCTAATATTTCTCTTCTCATATAATTTATGTCATCAAAATATTTGTTGGCCATAAATTCACTCTCACACAATCATATAAACACAATAACCACAAAGGCATTGAAGTCTCATTGAGGTTTCATTTGGGACAACTTTTAAACACCACTTTTTCGTTGACTTCAGTAGATTTATAGATTATAAAGCATTTACATATCTAACACCTAAAACTTTAATATTATATGCATAACAACCTATATTATTTTAATATCAAATATACCACTTATATTTCTTTCCTACCACTCATATATTTCATTTCGACCACTCATATTTGGTATGAAAATGAACTATGGGAAAAATATTAAAGTTTTAGGTGTTAAATATGTAAATAGAATAGTATTAAGTGGTATGTATGTAAATCTCCTTAAAATTTATTGTCTGCAGCACTTCTAATATTTCTCTTCTCATATAATTTATGTCATCAAAATATTTGTTGGTCATAAATTCACTCTCACACAATCCTATAAACACAATAACCACAAAGGCATTGAAGTCTCATTGAGGTTTCATTTGGGACAACTTTTAAACGCCACTTTTTATTGACTTTAGTAGATTTATATACTATAACGCTACTTTAGAAAACAGTAAAAAAGTTATCCTAAATAAAACCTTAGTGGCATTACTAATTTTTTGAATTCCAATCAGTCAAGCAAATCACAATCCACTTGATAAATGTATCCCATACATCACTACTTATCTTGGTGATATACAATCAAGCAGCTAATGACACTACAAAATGCAATCGAGTCGATTTTGTAGCTACAAAAGCTTCCACGAATGGTAGATCAAACATTATTGCAAGCTACAATTTGACTTAGTTATTATACCCACGAATGAGCTCAACTATTATCATATTGATGTAAATAAAACTAGGTAATTATATTATGTCATATTTATGTGTCTGGATTTATATTATCTTGCAGCAAATTTTATCATATTCTAAGATTTTTCATGAACATTATACTTGATAATTGTTAGAATTTTCATGATGCCTGGGGATGAGTTTATTATCTTAAATTTATTTATTTTTAAAATAAGAATGATGGTACACATAATACCAATTGTATAATTATGACCTCATAAGATTTTTTATTTATTTATGATAAAACCTACTAAAAGAGGCCTACATATTAATATAATTAAAAGGTTACAGGTCCTTAATGAATCAAAACTCCTCTAAAAATATCATTAAAGCAAAACCTATGAGCCTTTTATTTAATCTATCAGAATAAAAAATTAGAAGAAAAGAAAGGCAATAAAAAAAATCCATAACACTAAGAAAACTAACCAAGAGAGGCTACCACGAAGAAGCCAATGCCAACAAGACGAGCTGACCAACAAAACTACAACCCAAGCAAGACATCCAGACAGTTAGTAGTAGCTCCCACCATGATCAACAATATGAGTGTTGAACAAATTTGTAAAACGTTAAGAAGCCCACAAGAAAAGATCCAAATCAAACAAAGACAAAGAAACAACCCACAGTAGGACAATGACCAATTAGAAAAATCCAATGATCCTAAACACCAATATAAGCCTTATAACCATAAAACAAGACCACATCAAGAAATAACCATAGAATGAACAGAACATGACGACAAATGTTGAAATTAAACTCCGAATAATACAAACAAAAGTAGGAAACAGAATAGACCGAACACCAAGAAAATTGCCCCAAACCGAAGTTATTTTT